TGCTCTGGTCCGTGCTTTCATTTCATTTCCCCTCAATCCAAACATCTGTATCTGGGCCCAGTCTCTCTCTGTCTTTTGTGATCAATTATTGTAAGTAGTTTGTGATCTGGGGCTAGAAATTTGTCTTTCTCTGGATCCTGTTTTTCCTTCCTCGACCCTCTAAAATAAACACTCCTCCTTTGACATTCCTTTGAAACTTTGACCTCTAATATAGACCATAACTGTTAGCATTTTTCTTTGAGTACCCCCTAGCAAACCAGGATTCTGCCCTCCCAAGTCAGCAGGAGTCAGGCTATCTTGCTTTATCATTCTAAGGAAGGCCTTTGCAAGTCAAAAGTTAGGTTTCTACATTCTGGAGAAGGGCTGAGAAATTTAACTCTCCTACTTGCAGAAGAGGGAAGAAGAGGACACCTTTCACTGCATATGAATGGTAGTCATTCTACAAAGCTGTCAGAACAGTTAAGAATGTCACCAGAGATCCCTGGGCTTCCAGAGCCTAAGTGGTGTAAAGAAAGTGTATGGGTTTGGTTTGTGTGATAGTGGCGTGAATTCAAATTCACCCCCCTGTGTTTAATTTTAGGTTAGGTGCTTAACCTCTCTGAACCAGTTTCCTCAGTAATAAGAAGGGAATAATTGTAATTCTCTAATTGGATTGTTCCCAGGATTGAAGGATATAATAGATACTAAGTACTTGACACTTAGTGGGTCAAGTACTTTCTTTTCACCATACTGTTACAAGGAAGCCCTAGCAAGCCCTGAGGAAATTGGCAGGGGACCCTAGGAGACTCTAGGAACAAGCCTCATGGTTTTCTTAGAAGCCCCTGATTCTACCCATGGCAAAGGTCAGATAGGAAGGAGGACTAGGACAAGGATGAGGACCAGGAGGAGGAGAGGAGAAAGGAGGTGAGAGGGAGAGGAGCAGAGATGAGGTGAGAGGGGCTTGGCAAGCATAAGAATATTTTCCTTTAATCCAGACCGAGAAAATACAGGCTTCTATTCTCCAGGCCCTGTGAAGCAGTGCCTGGATCTGAAATATGCAAATAGGCTCATGGACAGGATTCCCTTATTGAGTTGATTCCTTTTTCAATAGGTTTTCAAGACCTACCATAGACTGTGGCCAATCTCCCTGTCTTGAGCCCTGAACCTATTGAACATAGGAGTTTTACTGTTTTGTCACCTTAATGATAGCCAGTTTGTTAAGGACAAGCCAAAAGGGAAGGAGTGTAGGGTTGTAACTAGTGAATCTGAATAACACTGTAATGCCTTGGAATGAATCCCTGACAGGAAGGTGATGGATGTAGAGAATCTAAATTCCTTTAGTTCCTGGCTCAGGGTCTATGTGGGAAGATTGGTTGATGTGATTGATTGCCATGAAAGTAAGATGAATGAGGATGGAAGAGACTTGGAAGGAGCTAGACTATGAGCTTTTGGGGGAAGTAGGAATTCTCAGTTGTTCTGTGAAAACCTCAGATATAAAGCCACAGAAAACACAAGGCATGCTCCTCTTGAATGATCATGTTTGTACAGGGCAGCGGGAATTGTTTTGTTTTTGAATCCCCCCCCTCCCCCACTTCAGGATTATTTGGGAACCTCGGGGAGGTCCTGGGGGGAAAATGTCAAAGCATCAGGTAGGTACCTGGGTCCTTTGGATGGAGATTCAGTTAGGAATGAAGGGAGAATATCTAGTTTGTTCATTTCCCTAGCACATTGTCACAACTCAGGTTTCATAATGGACACTTTGGCATCTATGTGTATTAAAGGATTGACCTCAAGGCCAGATCGTTTTATAATTTTTTTT